CCTTTGGGTTTTTAAATCAAAGGAAAAAATTACTTTAGTCAGAGCTGCCAAGTTCCAAAACAGGACTATGTGCTTGAGGGAGAAAACAGTTTCATTACTTAGCATTAAAACATTTTCAAAACTTATTTTGGCTTTTTAAAGGAGTCCCATTTATTTAACAATTTATATGTGCATGTATATAAAGATGTGACAGATCATTGGATGTGACAAATGGGCACCATTTATAGAGAATATTGTGAGTGAGCATTGTCATTTTAATTGTAGCCAGAAGTGATGATCACTACGCAGGAATGTGTGAACATAGCTTATGAAGGGTATGAAATTAAGATCTAAAAATATATAAGAGGCTTAGAAGATGTAAAGATACTAAAATGAATGTATTTTAGTTCATTGTCCTCTAAATAGCCAAGCCATTCCAAAGAGCAAATTACTGACAATCCTGTGATTCACGAACCTCCCCCGGCTGTATAGCCTTTCATTAAAAATTGTAATAGCAGCTTGCGTGTGAATAGGCAGAAGTTTAAAAAAAAAAGAACAAAATAAGGCAGTGAAGTAGGAAGAATTGACAGTAATAGAGAGGGATGGGGGTGTTCCAGCACCCTTCCCCTCTCTCATCAGTAAGAAGGTGGAGGAGAGTAGTCCTTTTGACTGTTACTGTTTATAATACGATGTAAGTATGTGTTTCCCAACCTGCACACACATACTAATGCTAACTCACGATGATCTAGTGGGAATTTAAGTAGTAGTGCAGCTGCGGTAGTAGGGACAATAGCAGAATTCCATTGATTTCGGGTGATTTGTACTGGGTATAGCTGAGCCATGCAATCATGGCCTCTGCACTGCAACTATGCTACTATAGGTATTTGTACTATTGCTTGCTCAATGAAAGATAGTGAAAATATGCTAACTGGGAATCACACTTCTGGCCCTTAGTATAGATGAAGCCTGGGTAAGTGCTAAAGTCACCTTATCAGTGCCTTGTTACCATGATATACACATTACAATATCTATCAAAGTATGTATAAACAAAATCCCAAAGGTTTCTAAGTATTTTACAGTTACATTTAAAAGACACTTCCCACCCCCAAAATACTTCCAATATATGGACCAGATCAGAAGTATGTTGAGTAGTACCTTGTTAGTAATAGGAAAACTTGAGGAGTAGGGCACTCTTCATCATGAATAACAGTCTCTCAGTCTGTCCCTAAATTAAAACAGATGCGGTGAATGAAGAGGCTGGGACTGTAGAATGTATGAGAACAAGGGGTACAAAAGTGAAGTTATACAGTAACTTAGTTTTGCAATGTGTATGAGCTGGCTCATCTTTCATATAGGAAGTGTATGTATATATACTTTGTATTTTGATTGATTGTGAATGAAAATACATTTGTTTGTAGGTGGTGTATGGCATGGCAGTGGTAGGAGTGAGGGATCCAGTTAAGGAGAAGGGGATAACTTGGCAGGGATATGGGAGAAGAGGATATTGGGAATGGGGAAGTGGGAGGAAAGCTGAAGGGTGAGGCTTAGAAGGGCAATAGCAGAAGGCTATGGCGTGGTAGGCAGACAAGTAAAATTAGTTGTTGACAAGTGAATTAAACACGCAGTGACAGACTGAGTGAATGGTTTCTGACCATACTGGGGTGTCTGGTGATAGTGAGCAGCAGCTGGGCTGATATAGCAGAAGTGCATGGAGGCTACTAAGGTGTAGTGTTGTTGTGTACAAGCTTCCTGGGAGAGAGGTGGAGCATGCTATTAAAATCCAATGTTTCCATTGGCCCTGTTTGTCTCTGCATTACCTCTCACAGTGACAGCTGGCGTTGAAGCCACTGGCTGAAGTTACCATACTCTGGATACCTCCCACTGGCATATGGTCCCTTGAGAATTGTTGCAAGTTGTCAGAAGTGAAAGTTGTTCTCAGTCTGGTTTAACCTATGCAATGGCTGGAGTGGGCCCATATAGTCTTGTTTGATTGTATATTATGATGGTGGTGCATAAGGAAAGTCAGCTATACTGTAGTCACTTATCACTTAATTGATAAGTGACTGGCTATGGATGCCTTGATACATGTGTACTTGTAATGCTTTTACTCAGAACACTATTGCAGAGGTGAAAATAGCAGTTACCAAGGATGCAGTCCTTCAGACACTTATGTACATGTTTAGCTGTCAGGCCCATTGACTTCAGTAGTACTGTTTGTGTACTGTTATGCATGAATGCAAGTGTTTGCAGTTTGAAGGCATGAATGATAGCAGTTGACATACATGTGCATTTGTTGTCTCATTCCTGCAGACAAGGCAACCATAGTTGGTATAGGTTTACACTCAGAAGGTTGCAAAAGGTTTGATGTTTGTGATGAAGATTAATTTTGGTTCATAAAAACCTCTAAAATATCCTTATTTGTTTCTATATTATTGCAAGCAGGGAAACATTTTTTGATTAAAATACTGGTGAAAACTTTCTTTGAAGTTCTGTGATTGATTTTCCTCTGGAGCTTTGATCGTTGATCGAAAAAACCCACTCAGTGCAACATGCTTATGCGTTATTTTAAATTATCAGGAATAAATCTTTTATTGCACTGATATGCAAGAGGGTAGAAGATAGGGTGGGAGATTAGGCTACTTAATCCAAGTAGCCAAGGATATGTTAGGACATATACTTGATTTACATGCTTAAACTTGACCCACTGAGAAGAGTGACTATGTAGACCCCAAATTAACTAGTACGTATGCTGCTAACAGCAGAAAGTGTATTTCATAGCACCTCCGTACACAAAATGTATTATGATGTCCTGCTATCTCAAACTTTATTTCTGCCAGTAAGATTTTTAGACAGAGGGCATGCTTAATTTGGCCAATTGGTCCTTGTGCTAACTTGCACATATCAGGAAAATATGTCATGTTTTCTGTTAGCTCGGCTAGGAACCTCATTTTCATTCCCCTCTAGGATATTTGGCCATTTTCAGAGCAGTGGGAAACTTAATGAAGGAACATGATCTTGTGATATTTTCAAATTGGGGTTCAAGATGTTCAGGGAAGCTTTTATATGAAACAAACCCTTACTCAAATAGGAGACCTACAATGATACATTATAATGAAGCCCCAATCATTTGAAAGGCGTGCTTGAAGTAATAGCACTATGCTCTTCAGTAGGCATTCACAAATGTGAGTCCCTAACTTTGTGGTCAAAATCCTACACTGATTTAAAAATATAGTGTATGCCTCTTGTGATCTGGCAAGTGCTTCAACCCCATATTTGTAGGAATTTAATTATTTAGCTTTATTTCTAGGTAAACTATTTTAGGCCAGATTTACACTAAAGGGGAAGGTTGAATTAAGATATGCAACTCCGGCTATATTAAATACATAGCTGGACACAAGGTACCTTAATTTTAGTTTCTGCGCCATCTCCACAGTGGGAGGCATGGGCAGTAGGTATGCTAGGTAGGGAGAAGGCATTGCCTTCCCAAACTGCCAGCCTTGCCACACTCCCAGAACACCTACTGTGGGCATACTGGGGGCCGGAAAGTTGCTGCCTCTGAGTGCCTCCCCTCCCTGTGCTCCAGGACTAGGGGTCATATGCTGTGAGGCTTATAGGATCTGATGACAAAGGGTTCTGGGGCTGGCTGATCCCCATCTAGACTACCATGCTGTGCTGACAATCAGCTGATTGGCACAGCGCGGTGGCCATTTTGATGTAAATGAAGTGGCGATTATTTAAATTGCTGCTACATTTCCCTTTGCCGAGTACACTCATCTACATGGCTCCATTGATGGAGCCATGTAGTCTAGACACACCCTCAAGCTGTACAAACTGTAGAGAACTAGTTACAAATCTATGTAGCCATATTACACTTTTCTTTTGCACATCTTGCACACAGAAGAACATGTTTTGCTGTAGATATATTCTATGGGCCCTGTTCCATCTGCTGGTTACCCAAGGGAACTGAGCTGCTTTACTGGAATTAAACTGTTTTAGTGGAAAAAATGCTAAAATTACCAGAAGCAGCTATCTGCCCTTGGCATTGCTGACAAAGAAAGCATAGATGTTCTTAAGTATAAGTCTGTTTCTGTATATGTAGAAAGTAGGGGTCAGGAAACTATAAGCAGATCTGAAAATGGGTTAATAAATGGTTTGAATCCTCCTAGTTATTAGCAAAATGCTGGTAAGTGGTTTTTAAGCTTTAAAACCATGCTTCCTTTTCATTTGCAAATGCGTTTTTGTTTTTTGTTGACACTGATGTGCCTTTTTGATGTAAAAATGAGAGTCCATTTTAAAGTTACTGAAAACTACATTGTATATCTAAGTTTTATTAGGCAGGAATTCTGAAGGAATGTTAATAAACATTTTATGAGTATATAATATTTTACCTGCCTGGTTTTTGTGATGACTATGAATGTTAAATATTTTTAATTAGAAACTCTTTACAGTTGTTAATATTTAGATTTTTAACACCCTTGTCTTTTATTCCACAAATTAATCAAGGAATAAAAGTTCACTTTATTACTGTTTCCCCAAAGCTACATGATGATCTTCCTCATCATGCTGGACAAAGAGAGCTCAATCTGACTTTCCCCTTAGCCAGTCAATATTACCACAGAACTGGCTGGTGGCAGTCACTTCAGAATTATGGGTCCATCCCTATAAACACTGCAAAGTATAGTGCAGTGAGCAGTCCCATTGACTACCATGGGGGTAGTTGCAAATGTTGTGGGGACTGAGCCTCATGTGAAGGGCTTGTTTTCCATTCCCAGCACTTGTCTGTTCCTGGATGGCAGGACCAGGTGAGAGATGGAGAATCTTTAATAGATCTGAATAGTCTGGACTTTATTCAGTTATTCAATTTAACAAGTAGTACCTCTCTGACAAGAGAGTTTTATTTCTACCAGACAATACACAATTACGTTTTAGTGGAATCGGAGCAAACACTAAATCTACTGTGCATCTCAGACTTGCTGTTTTGAATTTCAACTCATTCATGTAATTTTCTGCATTGGTTTTAGAAGGAACAATGCAGGCGACAGAGGGAAGGCATTACAAGTGATGCTTCAAGTCCTGCAGACCTGTGATCACCCTGCTCCCGATATGTTCTGCCTGTGTGGGAGAATCTACAAGGACATATTTCTTGATTCTGACTGTAAAGATACCAGTAGCCGAGACATTGCCATTGAATGGTAAGAGAAAAAGCAAACCCATTTAACAGCATTTTCAGAGTTTTACATCTGCCTATAAAAAAAGCATAGCAGAATTTATCTCAACAAGGCTATGCCAAATTATAAGGCTAACCTCTAAGGGCTTTACTTCCTCACAGTCCTGTTTTTAAGCAAATTCCTACTGAAGTAAAATTTGTCGTTGGCTTAGTAAGAATTGAGAAAACTTTGAGTAAGGACCTCCATTTTGGCTAACTGTATCTATTAGGCCATGTCTACACTACAGATAAAATCGAAGCAGCTGCAGTTGATCTTTCAGCGTTTGAATTAGTGGATTTAGTGAAGACATGCTAATTCGAACTGAGAGTGGTGCTTCAGTCAATGCTGGTAGTCCTGATTCCACAAGTAGTAAGGGAAGTCGAAGGGAGAGTGCTCCCTTCGGCGTCCCACAGTGTGGATGGCGCCAAAATTCGAGTTAAGGTAATTCAACTTAAGCTACACACTTACCATATCTGAAGTTGCGTATCTTAATTCAAACTTATCCCCTAGTGTAGACCAGGGGTTAATGTTGTTTTTTTTGGTAAGATGAACAAATTCCTGGTCCCTTGCTCTTCTCTATTACTGATATGAGATGGGAATGCTGCTGCCCAATGAGTGTATTCAGGATGAAATTTGTAAAGACTTCACACAAGACCTAGCGCTACCTACATCTCACTTAAACCCCGAAATAGCTACCCTGCGTCTTTTGAATGCATCCACTGCTTTGAAATATAGCGGACACGCAATTTTGCCATCCCTGTAATCCTCATTCTACAAGGAGTAAGGTATGGCTCAAAATAGTGCTTTATTTCAAAATTTGGCACTGTGTAGACAACGCCAAATTTCGAAATACTCAAAATAAGATATGCAAATTGCATATCTTATTCCAATTTTTGGGTGCTGTGTAGATGCACCCTAAGAAAGAACATTGTTGTGCATTTCCTTTGTTGTATTAAACATTAATTTTTTTAAAAATAAGTATCTCAGATTTTCCTTTCTCCAAATCGTGCAAATTTGTGGGACACAAAATTGAATGCAGAAGCTTTCCTTTCCTCTCTGACAGCAGGTTGAATCATGCTTTCTAAAGCATGTCCCTTTCTGGGTTGTGGTGTTACAAAGTAAAAACATGTTACCCTCTCCCTAAAAATACTTTCTTCCCTGGGGACTTTCAGCCTAAAACACTTTTTTTCCCAGATGTGCCTTATTTTGTCTTTAAGGTATGTGAACTCTAGACTTTGTCTCTACAGGTACCGCAAAGGATTTGATCTCCAGTCAACACTGTATTCTGGAATTAACCTTGCAGTTTTGCTGATTGTGGCAGGGCAACAGTTTGAAACCTCTATGGAACTAAGAAAAATAGGTAAACAAACAAGAAGTGTTTGTTCTATTTAATGAAGAACAGTTTTATTGTGTAGAACTGGGTATGAGGGTTATTGCCCCTTTGTCCCTTTATGCTGCCACAGAAGGGGTCTAAATTTGCCCCAGGGAACAGACCCCAAATATGATCAGCCTCCATAGTTGCCAGAGAGGCATCTCTGTGCCACCTGTTCAGGTGCCCTGGAAACAATGGGGAATTAGAGCACACACAGCAGAGATGGAGGGAGGTGGCTGGCATGAAAAGGTTTAGATTGGTGACCCGACTATTCTGTGCTACTGCAGTGGTTCAGGGTTGGGATGGTAGCAGAGGTGCAAGTTAGGAAGAGCTGAGGGCCACTACAGCCACTGAATCATGGAGACTTCCTGTACCAGAGTGCTGAGATAAATCTGGTTTAAATGTAGCTCATCACAAAGATAGGAGCCAGTTGCCCAACTCATGTTCAGATTTCTCCAAAGTTCAGGAGCTTGATTGAAACCCACCCTGGGTATAGATAGGTCTCTGAAATAAAATTATTGTATTATAGATTCAATTGCTTTCTAGGCAGGTGATAGCCAAAAATCAAAGTTCTGCATTTGGAATTGGATACTCAGTTGCATCAGAGCAAAGGAGGCCAAGGGATGCCAAAGTGGCTTTAAACCACTTTTAGACCTCAATCCTGAGACCAGTGTGCACCAGCCCCTGACCTAGGGACTGTTCCAGCATGTGGAGGTTTCTGGGGCATAGGGACAGCTAGCTACATTCCATACTCTAGGAGCCAGAATGGTAGTGTAAGAATTACTACAGTGGCCCTACAAAAAGAAATCCTTTGCTGGCCCAGTACAGCCCGGTTTAAGGCCACGTTTTGCCACCACAGCTGCACAAAGTATAGGGTCCAGTAGGAGTAAATATTCCCCATTCTTTTTTTTAATGACAATTCCATCTCTCAATTAATTTGTTATAGTGATAGTATAATATGCAAATTATTCCATTTCAAATAAAAGCTTTCTTTTAATGTGAAATTTCCAAGGTGTGCGGCTCAACAGTTTGCTGGGAAGAAAAGGAAGCTTAGAAAAAATGAATAATTATTGGGATGTGGGACAGTTTTTCAGTGTGAGCATGCTGGCCAGTGATATTGGTAAGGCAGTGCAAGCAGCGGAGAAACTATTTAAACTGAAGCCTCCAGTGTGGTAAGTTGTATGCGCTAATATTAACTGCACTATCATCGGGGTGAAAAGCCCTATTTTGGGGGATTTCCATAACTAGATTGGACTAAATACTAGAAAATGTCCAGTAGGAAACAATCCTACATAAATAGTTGGAAGAACTGGACAATGTAATAGATTTCTAAATCTCAAACTTTTGCAACTCTGCTCTGTGATTTGAACTTGATTTTCATTGTGGGTTTTTTCTGGTAGAAAATAAAATTATCCATCAGCTAAAATAGAGCTGATTGTAGATTCCCCTGAAATGTTTATGGTAAGGGGAGGAGAATGGTGGCAGTGATGCAGACTGAAGTAGAATTCTCTTCTAGGTATTGGTAGGTGCAACCCATTCTGTCCCCAGGCAATCAATACATTAGCGTCACTACATGGGGATCCATGTAACAATGTACTTCTCAAATCAGATGTGCATAAAAGCACACTGTCAATTTATGTTCAAGTTTGATATCAGGCCTATACATTTGTAAAACCAACAGTCATGACTATATCCTATAGAATTCATTTTATTTTGTTTGAAATTACATGTGAGTTACTAACTTATTCAAAGCTGTGGGGTGGAGGTGGATTCTTGGTCTCTCTTTTTTTTTTTTCCTTGACTGGCTGTATGTGTTCTAGGTACTTGAGGTCATTAGTCCAGAACTTGTTGTTAATCCAGCGTTTCAAGAAACTCACCATAGAGCATTCTCCCAGACAAGAGAGGCTGAACTTCTGGTTAGATATCATTTTTGAGGCAACAAAGGAAACAACTAATGGACTGAGATTTCCAGTAAGATGCCCAAATAGGTTTTGCCACATATATTTCTTTCTTATGTTTTATTTATTATTAGATTGGCAGCAATAGACATTAGAAGGCTATAAACACAGGCACTTAATTTCCCAGATATTATTGAATATCATTTACCAAAATCTAGCCTTTTCTCAATCACTCTTCATTTAAGGGGTCATTTAACCAACCTAAAAACAATTACAGTAGCAAACATACCACAATAATTTTGTTTTATTGTAAATAGGAAAACATTGATTTTTATAAGATAAAAAATATATGAAGTGTCTGGTTTGAGATTGCTTATTATCCTAGATCATTATCCTTCCTGAGATCTTACAGCATAGGTACTATTACATTTTGCTAAACAAAACTTTGGATTTTTTAGGTATTAGTGATAGAACCAACCAAGATCTATCAGCCTGCATATGTGTCAATCAACAATGAAGCAGATGAGAGAACTGTCTCTCTGTGGCATGTCTCACCCACTGAAATGGTAAGACAAATCGCAACACACATTTCACATAGCTAATGATGCTCTGTACTGATTATACTTGTATAGCTCCTTTCTTTACTTATGTATCTTGGAGCACATTAGAAACACTTAAGCCTTGTTACATCCCTGGGAAATAAGTTAATTAATACCTCTATTTTACACTTGGGGAAATTGAGATACTGTAGAGAAGAGGAAATTACTTGCAGAACTGGGATTATTCAACGGCTGATCGCATATTAGAACTCAAGTGTATGTGGATCTTGGTCCTAGGCTCATTTCACTAGAACATGCTCCAGAGAAATGGTTTTAAGTAGTGTGATTGATACTGCTTCCCTCTTTAATTTTCTGTTTACATTAGCACCTGTGATTTTTTTACAGAGCTGTAATTCAGAGCTAATCTACATTTATTACTGGTTATTACTGATAAAGCATCATAAAGTGCATGGTGTTGTAGAAATTGTAAAGGTTTTCCAAACAGTGGGGGCAACAAGAAAGAAGATATAAGGTTATGAGTGATTAATGACAATAGGAGTCAATCTTTGATGGGATTTGGGGTTATAAGAGAAGGTGTAGGAAGAGGTTTAGGACAGAGGTGATGCAGACTGTTATGAAGTTGTCCAGACCCTTGAAAGTGAGCAGTAACTTTAATTTGATGTGAAAGAAGAATAGAAAGTAGGACCAATAAGGGGGGAGACGCTGTTGGAAAGACACGAGAGGAAGACAACTGTTGCGGCCTCAGTGAGATGAACTATGGAAAAGAGGTATGATAGTCTGAGAGTTTGTGATAGCCAGAGCATGAGATGGTGAAATAATGGACCCAATGTTTTAAATATTTGTGCTTCCCTGAAATCTAATCTGGCCCTGGTCTAGTGTGGCTGTGTACTACTCCCAATGCAAGCCACACATATATTACACAATTTTACCATAAAGAGCAGATTCATTGTGGGCTGTTGTTACTTTTGTTAACTGACAATAGTATCCAAGACACCATTCACAAGCTGGGGATAGGACTTCTGATCTCTCTCTCTCTCTCTCTCTCTCTCTCTCTCTCTCTCTCTTGCACTTTCTGTGCAAGAGCTTCTAGAAATAGAGAATTCATAGGAACCAATTGGGCTAGCTCTGTCTCTGCTGAAAATGGAAGTTGTGCTGCATGAAAGAGAAGAGCAGGGCAGTGGGTCAGTCCTACGTGGTTTGGGGTTTTTTTTTAAATGTTTTTTTTAATGTGAAAAGAAAGCTTATTTGGTCAAAAGATGCAAAATTTGGTAAATTAAACTTTAAGCTTCAACTTTGCTTTTGAAACTGAATTCTATACTGGAAAATATGTGTCTGAATCCACTGTGATGTTTTTAAAATTACTTTTCCTCAAGTAAATAAAAATAGTATTTAATATAGGTCCCACATCTACATAAAATTATTAGTAATTTCAGATTTTTTAAAAAAATGGAGATGTGGCCAAGATAACAAGCTGAGCTTAATCTGTGGTTGACTTAGATCTTTGTTCCTTACAGAAACAGATTCATGAATGGAATTTTACAGCTTCCTCCATTAGGGGAATAAGGTTGGTATGTTTGAAAACAATTAATTATGGTTTCATATTTTATGTTTCATTTGTCAAATGAGCCTGCCTAATGATTTATGAGAATGAACTCTGCTTTTCATTCCCTGTTAAATCTTATCTTCTGCCTAAACTGCTTCAAAACACTGTAATAGGGAAGAGTCTGTTTTTCCTTAAGTCAAGCAGAGCAATGTATTTCTTTTGTAAAGAATCTGACCTAATATGTGCAAGTTCTATTTTGAAAATCAGTATTTTGAACTGTACTTATAATTTTCATGTTCTGCTAACCCAGGAATTCCTAGTAAAACAAAAGGAAAAAATACGTAGCACTTTAAAGACTAACAAATAAACTACCTTGTTAGTCTTTAAAGTGCTATGTATTTTTCCTTTTGTTTTACCAAGATAAGACTAACATGGCTACCTCTCCATTACTTTCCAGGAATTCCTAAAATTTTTGCCACCACAATCCTTTTTTCACTAATTATTTACTCTCAAGATCCCCGACAGCATGGAGGATACCATTTTGCCCTAGAAAATGATGTGGTCTTTACAGTATGGCCTTGTATGTATGGTGTATATGAAGTCTTGCTCCATGGAGAATGTTGTTTTGTAGAGTAAAATGGCTTCTTCCAGGTATTATGACCTTGCACACACTTTACACGAGAGGTCACACTGTGTGGAGCAAAATGGTGTCTTCTGTGCACCAGGGAACGTTACCACTCTATTTACTGATGGTGTGATCCCATTTGGGGTTGTGACCATGGTTTGGGAACCACTGAGCTAAACCCCCTCTCCGTGCCAATCACACTTTGTTAGTTGCACATCACTAGAGTCTAGATTTCTGAGAAATAAATTGTAGTTGCTTTTCCATGGTTTCCAGTTCTCTTTTTTAAACAATGAAGGCCAGATGAAGACTTGTGCATTAGAAGACATTTATAGAGAAATCTTCAGTCTGCAAGAAAGTACACAGTATAGGTGAAGTATAAAAAAAAAAAATTCCGATATCACATCAGCAAATGTGATTACCCAAGCTAGTTATAGAGCTCCTGAGAGAAATGAGGCAAATGGGATAAACTCCTTTTCTCTTCTCTTCCTGAAATTTCTTGATCAAGAAACAATTAATAATATTGTCCATAAGCTTCGTTCCTCAGTTTGACATTAAATCCAAGTCTAAATGTAAATAAGACTCGTCCGGGATCTCAGCTAGGTCTCCGAAGCTTGGGATGTGCTTCCTCACCTTGGGGGGTGAGGGGCAGTATGTAACCCACATGCCTAGTGTGGTTCACTGTCTCATGCAGTGTTACCTAGACCAAAGCAACAGATAAGAATAAGAGACCTCTACAACATGAGGCTAAATGTGGAATTGAGCCGCCATTTTTGCGGAAGAGGCTCTTAGAAGGAGCTGTCTACACTGCCCCTTCTTGCGCAAGAAAAACCCTCTTGCGCAATGCCGCTATGTTGATTATTTTCAGGAATAACGGCATTGCGCAAGAGGGTTTTTCTTGCGCAAGAAGGGGCAGTGTAGACAGCTCCTTCTAAGAGCCTCTTCCGCAAAAATGGCGGCTCATTAGGTATGCAAATGAGGCTCAGCAATATTCCACACTTAGCCTCATTTGCATACTTCTGGCACAGCAACCCACCAGTGTAGACATAGCCCTAGTGTGGGACACTGTCCCATGCAATGGTACCTAGACCACAGCAACAGATAAGAACAAGAGACCACTACAGCATGAACTGAGAGCCAGCTGGCTTTTAGCTCAAAGGGTAGAGGCTCCTATACTAGGTTTCATAGATCCCAAGTTCAGATCTGCCCAGTAGCAGTTACATTAGTACAAAACATCAATCCAATAAAGAAAATACATTACAACAAAGCGTTCTAAACTCAGAATCTTGGAAAAGTTACAAATAATTTGCCCATATAACTGAACACTTTAAGCAGTCACATAAAAATCATTAATTGCATATTTCCTCTTAAGTATAAGCTTTGAGCTCAAAACTGTACCTCTTGGATTAAATAAAAATAATAACTAACCAAGCAATAATAACTAACCAAGCAAGACCAGTCATCTGAAGAAGTGGGCTGTGCCCATGACAGCTCATGATACCATCTACATATTTTGCTAGTCTTTAAAGTGCTACTAGACTATTTGTTGTTTTTTAAGTTTTTTCTGATACAGACTAACTCGGCTACCTCTCTGAAGCTTTCAAACAATAAAATAATGTTATGCACTTCTTCTCAAAATTTACAGTAATTAAAGACCTCAGAGAGAGGCAAGAACAAGCCATGTTTTAAACCCTCAGCTAATACATTGTGTTTCCTAACAAATTATACCCTTTTAAGACTAAGTCTTGGTTACCTTATTCAAATGAGCAGGCTGTCTAACAATACTGGACTGAATAAAGTAAGCAGGCTTTGGACTATGAAGACCAAAAGGCCATGGATGATTCCATATGTCCAATAGGTGCATGTGAAGACAGATTTTGGGTTTAAATGTCTACCTTAAATGGGTGAAATCCATTCTGCTACATCCATGCAACACAAATGGATCTGTTTCTGCTGTTACTGAAATCAATGAAAGTGCCCCAGTATCACTTAATATCAGAATTTGGCTCTCTATTTGAATGAGGCTTTATAACTAATTGGCTACTATGGGGCAAATCCTTTCTGAAGCACAGAGACGAAACAGGTGGGAATTCTGTAGTGGCTCTGGGGAAATAATCCTGCTGTGCACCCATTGCTGCAGCCTCTGGATCCTGGCCCCTTCCCCACCCAGCTGTGTTGAAGAACAATGACTAAGGAAGCCACATAGCCTCCTTGCTGATAATCCTTGCCATGCCCACCCTCCCACAAATATTCAGATGCAACAGCATGTTGAGAGCCTCCACAGAGTTGTTGGTCCCTTGCTGTAAGGATATGTGGGTCTCAAACCTATGTTTTCTGGTCCCTGAGCAACCTCAGCATCCATACTGCCACCTCATTGCTCTGGCAGCCTGGTGATGGACAGGCTGTGAATCTTGTGTGCCCCCAACACCATTGGAAATTCTGACCCCAAAGGATCGAATTGGCAGTGCTGCCAGAGTCCCTGATTGGTCCAGGTGCATTACTTAAGCTTGGAGAGGGCCTCAGCAATAGGAAGTTGATTGTGGAATTAGGTGGATTCTCAGTGGGCTTCTATTACGGACTCTCTTGCGATGCTCTTAAATTCTGGCATCTGGCTTGTACTCTGGCTTCAGTTCCTGACCCTCAGCTTTGACTCCTGGCTTCCAGCCTTCCAACTCTCATCCTCTGTGCTGGTTCCAGGCTTCCAACTACAGCTTTTACTTTACTCTTGGTGCTGGTTCCTTGCTCCGGACCCTACCCCAACCCTATCCTGGTCACCCGTACCCTGACTGTGACACTTGCACTGAAATTCTGCCTACCCGATCTTCAGTACTGCAGAACCAGCACTCCTCCTCCAGCACCTATGTGACTGTGATGGGAGCAGCCAGGGTTTGTCCTTTGTTGCATGGAGAAATATTAGGTTATTTTTGGTCCTAACAAGCTTCCAAGACAAATGAAATGATTAATGTTGCTAGCATGCATGGTCACCACAAAAGAAGTCCCCTAAGTATGCTAATTTTCTGAAATATGCATTAATTACTTTAATGGTCTTAGTTTGTATAAATTAATCATTGCTTAGCATAACTGTAATTAAATTGCTTTGGCTCCTTTCTTAAACATTCCTGTGGGCTCTGAAACCCTGGGAGGTATAGTGCTTATATATTTAATATAGAATAATACTTTTGATCTTCGTTCACACTTACTTTTGTCTATCATAATTGTTCTCTTTATAGGAAC